TTCCGGGTAATGTAGACATGCAAGCCACAAAGGAGGTAGATAGCTACACAGGCGTCTGGGTGACTTGCACAGATGGAGACATCATGAGCAGGAGGAATGCGCCCTGGCTGCCAGCGGGGGCAGGAGGAGGGAGCGGAGGTGCCGCCATGTCCTCACCAGTGGATCTGGGTGGCCTGCACTAGGGTTGGGTGAGTGGAGGAAAGTCCCAGCTCAGTCTCTTAAGGGCTTTAGCGGTACCTCTCACCAACGGGGACAGAAGCATGCAGAGGGAGGAATGAGGAAAGCACTTCACCTCAAGAATGAGTGGCGGCATCCGCTGTTCCATCCTCATAGGGTGCAGCTGTGGGGCAGACAGGGCTGGGTTAGTGGGCTGGCCTCCTCCAGGGCCTGGCCACCCCCCACAGGCCTCCCCAACCACCCCCGGCCAAGCAGCGCCTCAACCCCTCCCTCTCCCCAGCCCCTCACAGCCCCTTGGCCTCAAGCTGCCCACCCTGTCAGCGGGTGCGTCCCCCCCACCAGCGCCTCCTCCCGCCTCGCATGCCCCCGACATGGCGGCAGACGAGGGTTGCCTGCTGTTGGGTGGTCAGCAGCACCAGGCCAGAGCGCCACCTTTCTCCGCGTCACCACCTGCAGGCCGGGAGGACCAGCAGAGATGGGGGTGGAGCCAGCCCTGAAGTGGGTGGGGTGATGCCCCATTGTGGGGGCATGTTTGCCCCAGGCACGGGCCCCAGCCTGGTGGGGGGACCCCTCGGCCCCCCGCCACGGGGCCATGGCACAAGGGGACACTGCCCACCTCCCGCAGGCTCCCAAATCCAGGCTCCCCAGAAACAGGGATGGGGGTTCAGAAGCTGCAGGAAGAGCAGGCAAGGGCTCAGCCTGCGCAGGGATGACCTCCATTTTCCTCCTGCCCGGAGGTGGGAGCGGCGCCGGCTGTGCCTTGACATCGCCTTCTCTCTATTCACTAACAGGGATTTTTTTGGTTTTTTTGGTCTGTCTTTCCTGTTTAACATCACCTGTCCCAGAGGCGGGGGGGGGGGGGGACAGAGGAGCGCGTTTTTTTGTGGGGGGAGGGACAGAGCAGCCCGCTGCGGGGATGAGCAGGGACTCGGTTCCCAGCTCACACAGCCAGTCTCTGTTTTCATGTCTTAATCCTCGCCGAGAGGCAGCACGGGATCTGCTGCGGCGTTTGGAGCTTGCCCAAGGAGAACGGCCTCTTGGTGAATTTGGGCAGCAGCTCAGCGTGCCTGCAAGGTTTGGTGAACTCTGGGCTTCTCACGGAGAGGGAAAAGATAGCTGAGAAATACAGAGTTTTCCAGAGGCGGCTTTGAGGCACGGCACAAAGACCTTCAGAGATTTCCAGCCCGGTCAAACCAGTAAGTTCTTCCAGTTCCCATGGGGCTCCTATCTGCAAAGGCTACCTTAGGGTAGGCAGAAATGTTCATGCTGCATCCTGGGAACAGGCTGGAAAACACTCGTGCAGGCATCGAGGGCTGAGCCTGCAATGCTCGCTCACTCAACTCGTGTGATGTCTTTTTTTGTGCAGACCTCATGCTGCCGAGCCCCAGCACACTCGCCTCCGGAATGGGCACCCACCATGAGATGCTGTGATAGCCAGGAGAGACCGTGCTCAGCGGCATGTCCAGGGCCTCAGGCACAACTCCTCTCCTTTGCTCAACATCTAACAAGCTCCCAGTGCCCCGGGCCATGGCATCTGCAAGAGCAAGGACACAGGAAACTTTCCCCAGGAAGAGCCTCAGCCACACCACCAGGACTTGGACGGACCGTGCTTCCTGGCAGAAGTGTGGCAGCACACAAGCTAGATCAAGGCCCTCCGAGATGAAGGTCTCGGCATCACACCACTGCCAGGGTCCTACAAACAGAGGACTTGGAGGACTCCCACCTCCTGAGGCACAGGAGCAGATACCCCAGCCACCCCTGGCAGCAGGGTCCCCAGGGACCTTCTCTGCAGTTTGCCTTCAGCTAGCCCATTCCTCTGCTTAGCAGTCTCCAAGGTGGAAAGACTTTGTCAGGACTTAAATCTCCTTTATCATTCCCCGTATGCACTACAGCGTGCTTGGCAAAGGTCCTGCACACCTCTTCTCCTGCCTTGTTTCACCCCAGCTTTACAGAGAAGGCTGATGGCTCTTCTCAGATCTCTCACCCAGATCTGGATCCTTTCTCCAAGGTCAGTGCTCAAAATGGGCC